ACAACCCAACAGTACATGACACCTGTTATGAAAGGAACTGCTAATGCGTTTTAACATCCTCCCTAGGCCCTAACCCACAGGTTGTCGTTCGTGCCCCAGGGGTCGAGAATTTGCACCAGCGGATGACGCTTGTTTCCATTTTAAATGTAGAGGAGATTAAGGGCAAAGAGTCCACTTTCGAGAGCAAATGGCTCAAAAAAAGTTTTTACTTCGTAGAATGATGCTTACAGGTGACAAAACCAACACCAGTGCAAAAAATTAATGCGTGACTTTGCTATATTGTGTTAAAAAAAATCATATAAATTGAAAAAACATAAATAAAAATTGTGCTTGATTGGGGCATTTGGACGGAACAAATATTCAAGTTACACGGGAAAATATTGAAATTTCGAATGGATGAATCCGTGACCGTAGAATCCCCACATGACTGACCATTAGAGGCGGCTACGAAGTCTATCGCGTCGAACATCCCAGTGTTTTCCTTTTCCAGGGTTTGTAGCAGAGAGCAGGACATTGGTGTGTGAGTCATACGATCACAAATGCAAAACGCTCCACTCCGCTTCGTTTAAAAACTCAACGTGTTCGTCGCTACAGCAGTGTGATGAGACTTGGCCTGGGTCGATTCCCGCGTGTTATGCATTGTTAGCTCAGAACAAAGAGGGAGGACTCAGTGTCCTGAGGAAGGGATGTACATCTCAGATTGGTAAAGAATGTACTCGATCATACGCGTGTAATGGACAACGGAAGCGTCTTCGTAACAAACTACAACCCCTTTACTACTGCTGCTGCATTGAAGACAATTGCAACCGTGATGTCATCATGTTTCTAAAAGAAGAGAAGGAGGAAATTTATACGATGGATGGTAGGAAATCTTTGATACGTTTGTTCTTTTTTCTCATAAAAAGGCTTAAAGATTTCAAAGAGCTTCTCCAACCTCAGATCATGTATTAGGGTTGAAGAAAGACAACCTCACGCATTGGGGAGATCAGAAGAAGCCACGGGTTGGGAGGTTTGAAAAAAATTTAGGCAGAGATTAAAAGTTATTGAGAAAGATAAATAATGAAAAATCGAATTTAAAATGCGATCTCCATTACAAAAAATTCTCTTTTGGTGAGATTAAAACCTTTAAAGTGAGGAAGAAGGCTTGATTAGATCCGCAGTACTGTTGCCACCCTTGCACACACAGTAGCGTAGATGAAGATTACTACTATCATGATTGTAACCGATTAAATTCTGGGCTTCAATATTAAACCCATCACATATTTTATCGTAGGATTCTGATCAAATCTTGTGCGCATTGTTGTAAGTAATTTTTTGTTCACTTCCTGGAGAGAAAGTAGAATATTCTCGTTAAGGTACTTTTCTCCTTGTGCCGTTCTCCACCGAAGTCACCGAAGTCTCCGAAGTCTGTACTTATCCGACAAAACTTCTCGGAGAGACAAACAAAGCTAAAGCAAGATCAGTAGCTGGTTTGATACCCATTTATTTTTTTATCAAAAAAAATTTCAAATCAAAATGATCAATCCACAGCAGTATCTGGGGGTACTCAGCTCTTCAGGGCATTTCAGCGAAAAACTCAAAATATTTGTCAGCAAATTCTAGTCAGATCTGCCCTTGAGACATTATTAACTTTGAAGAGTGCAACGTGCACGTCACAAATGGGACTAATCGAGGTGATGTTTGCTTTTGCTTTTGCTTTTTAGACATCAGAAAGGCTCTCATGAATTTAAAATGGTTGATCTGGGCTCATCTTGTGACAATAACTATAATTCTATTACTGATTGCGTTCGTATCACTGGGTCTGATATTGATGCTAAGCAAACGGCACAGAAAAACCGCAAGGCGTGGGAGACATTCCTGTCCAGTGCGGGTCTGCGATAAAGGTAAGGTTATCCTTTTCTCAGGAGACCATTCCCCTCGTATGAAAAAAAAATTCTGTTCCTTTACATAGTTGCAATGAAAATTATCATTAAAGTCTCCTTTCAAGTTCGTCTTGCTTCGTTTGGGTTTTCTTGTAGGAACAACAGTCTATTCGACAAGCATCTTATTTTCATGTAAGTTTATAAGCCAAGCTCCGATTTCGATTACTTTATCCAGGTTCTTTCTGTCCATGTATGTCAAATGAGGGATAGCTGCACGTGCAAGCTGCAAATGGGTTATTTCAATTGTTACGTATCAATTCCTTTGTAGGAAGTCATCATCACCATAACTCATCTCAGTGGAAGAAACAGGACTTCCAACTGATCATGTGTCTCGTGCGAAGTTCGTTTGGTGAAATATGGCAGGCCAGGTTACATGGTTCCAATCGAGTAGTCCGCATTCGATTAACAGCAGGCTCAGACGATGTCTTTGTGTACGACAAACACGTTTTGTTTAAAAAAACAAACGTCGACACAACAAGGGTAGTATGACAAGAGATTTTATAAGTTTAACTGTGTACCTATGAAATGAAGAAGATATTCGGAAGTAATATCCCACTCATTTAAGTTAATATTTATGATATAATTATTGTTGCATTCAAAAAATAGAACCTGAGCGTGTATGAGACCATAAAGAGATTTGGAAATTTCAGACTATACATCTCTTACGTATCATCTGCAACAGATATTGGGTTATCATGTCGAGTTCAAAGTCTGCCTAGTTTCCAAACCCCTCTTTCGTGTTGTGTTCTCAAACTTTTGCAAACTTAAAGAGAATTGTCTTCTTTTGCAGATTGTTTAAAACGTATTATAAAACAATTATTGAATTCGATATTCGCATGATATCATGAATTATCAAACCGTGTGTCTGTGTTATCTGCCTCAGCCTTCGGCTTCTTAACTCAAATTCGGGACAAAACAGAATTGGAATGTAAGTTGGTTCCCTCTTTTTTATTTGTCGATTTTTCTGCCTTGTAATAACGGAAATATAAACATCAATTTGAACTCGAATTCTAAGCAGCATGGAAGTCTTCATTTAATCGGCACAGACAGATAAATAATGTGTACATAATTTAATGATAAAGTGTAACTTATTAAATCATAACATTTTACAGGTATAGATTATTGCATTGTTTCCCAACGTAGTCATGAAAATAATATAATTACATGCATGAAAAGTATTAATATGTTAAATTAGTGTACATAATCTACCAATAATTTATAATTAAACTGATGTATCCATGTAAAAATTAAGGGTTTTGTAATAAAACCAAAGTCCACTGCAACACTG